GGAAGGCCCGCGTACGCGGTACGCGTGAGGCGGAGACACCCGCGGAGGGGGCCGCACCCCCGCCGGCCCGCGCCCCTCCTGCTCCGGCCGCGCACCGGGCGCGGGAGTCACCCCCCGGGCCGAGCCCCGGACAGGCGGGAGCCCGGGTCGGGGAGGGGAGGGAAGAAGAGCCGCTGCGGGGAGCGCAGACCCCTCTGCCTCCCGAGCACGTGGAACGGCTCTTCTAAGCGCTGGTGGAAGCGGGGGCCGAAAAGAGATAGACTTCATAACTACAGGCGAGCACTTAGGCTGTAATTTAAAACTGTCAACAAGCTAATCTTCGGTAATTGCCTTTTAAAGTGACTCTGCCTTCTTGAAACGTTTTATGTGATTCGACGAGAATTTCACCTTAAAACTCAGCATTGCAACTTCAGAGTCGCCCCGCCTTACCCCTTTACTTACACTTTTAGTTCTCGACGGGTACATCAGATACTCGGAGGCGCTTGGGTCTAGGAAGGGGCACGTCTCTGGGGCAAACTAGGCTGGGCAATGCGAGGTTGGCCGGCGTTATTGCTGTGCAGGTAACTGTAACTCAAAAGGCTGTTTACAAACATAGCTGTGTTCAAACGGGACCGTTTCCTGCTTCTGAGCTGCTTTCAGGTGACAAATCTGTAAATAGGGAGAAATAATCCCGTAGCTGACCACGGCAGAATTTTAGAGAGATTGTGCCTGCTCCCTATAGCGTGTTTGTGCATGTCTCCGAAAGACATATTGTGTCGGCAGGTACAATACTGCTACAGATTTGAAGCCTTCCTATTGTCTTCATCGCATTTGCTGATTTATTGTTATAACCAGAAAAGTCGGAACCTGACTGTACAAAAGCAAGCACTTCTTAGCTAACCAGAGTTTTAGCAAAAAAAAAAAAAAAAGTGTTTTTATTTTTCCCTTGACTAGGTCAAATTACATCTAGATAGCTACAGCTACACAATACACAGAAGAATAGCAGAATCACACGAATACTTTTAGCTCTTGATGTGACGCTACCCATAGGTTTGCATTTCTTGGCGGTTTCCACGAGTTGCTAAGCTTGTTCCCCTTTAAAAAAAATGGGGAAACATTCATATTTTTTAAGTATTCATCAAAAGTCGACACAAATTCACCTAGCACCTCCGCTTTCTAAGATACACCCCCGTGTTCCGAGTTCTGGGATAAGGGGCTCTCACGGGGTTTTCCTCCACGGTCACGGTGCAGAGGATTTGGCTTGTTTTGTTTTAATTTGTAAACATCAAACTGCCGAGAGCTGTTGCACGTTATCGTGGCCTCTGGCTAAACTGAGCTAGATTCAGTATACAAGAAGCAGACCCAAATTATGATTAATTTAAGAAGTATTCTTTCATTAATTTTCGGGCCAAAACTCTGTTTTGGTGATTTGTCAGGAAATAAATACTTAAAACCTTCCCCCTCCTTTCCTGGCGCACGCACACCTTAGCGAACTCTCCCTCCCCTGTCAAGTCTCACGCAGGTTCAAGCTCCTGTCATTAAGGGTTTTAGGGGGGTGGTTTGTTTTTGCAAATTAATTATCTGTGGAGTCAGAAATGTCAGTCCTGTCACTCCACCAGCGCATAAAGCAGAGGAGGCTGCAGGAGCTCCGATAGATCTGACTGCTTGAATGGCCTTTGAAAGAGGGTTCATCACCCGCCCCCCCCCCCCCGCCTTCCCCTGTCCCACCAGTTTAGATTCATAGCCTCTGCAGACTCCCTGCTTCCTACTCATGGGGACCCTGTTCCTCCCTTCCCCTTCCCTTACAGCAGAACCTATCTCTGCCAGACAGCCAGCTCTGCGACCCCACGTCCACAAGCAGCCCGAGAAGACCACCCGAGTCCGGACTGTCCTTAATGAAAAACAGCTTCACACCTTGAGGACCTGTTACGCTGCCAACCCCAGACCTGACGCCCTCATGAAAGAGCAACTGGTAGAAATGACTGGCCTCAGCCCGAGGGTCATCAGGGTTTGGTTTCAAAACAAGCGGTGCAAGGACAAAAAAAGGAGCATTATGATGAAGCAACTTCAGCAGCAGCAACCCAATGACAAAACTGTAAGTGGCTTCAGCCTCTGACCGTGTGCTGCCTTCCTTCCCAGGGAGAAACGCCTGGGCTATGTCCAGCCCGGCCAGCCTCTGGGGACGGTTTGAAGCTTTTGATTTTGTGGGAGCTCCCTTAAAACAAAGAAAATTATACCATTTAACTACTACTCGTTTCTGCTGTCAGTGCAATTAAAACAGACCACAGCGAGAAGCCGATATAGGCTGCTCAAGGGAACACGTCTTTTTGCGGGGCTGAGGATACGCAGTGGATTAGACTAATTTCTCTGCAGCATGAATTGCAACCTGCAGAGTTTATGGGGTCTAATAAGCCCAGCCTTGTGTAATATTTATATTTCAAATGCAAAGGAGTCCTTGAAGGGGAAAATGCCACTTCCACTCTCTTCAATGGTTTTACACAGGAGTAAACCCAGAAGTAAAACCCATGAGTAAAAGGGATATTTGATGTATTTTCTTAGCACTTTATAAACTACAATGTGTATGTGTGTGTTTGTCGGTGCACTCACTGTAGAAAAAGACAAATGCAATGCAAAGTTTACGGAATTAGCATCGTGTTTACAGGTTACTTAATATACATATATATATATAGTTCTCGCACAGAAATATATTGAGGTTTTGTCTGCGGGCGTATGCACGTGTGATGCAAACAAGCAGAAAGCTCGGTTCAGCAGAAGCAAACTGGCTGTCTCCATTTTAAGCCAACTTTTTTTTTTTTTTTCTGTTCTTGTTAGTCCACTTGAAGAAGAGTCTGTTATTCTCCCTGTGTATATTGACTGACCTGAGAATGACTATTAATTCATAAGGCTGCCTAGTTAAGTGGAATTTAAGGAGTTTCATTTTACCCTGTTGGAATGCAATAAAACACGATGTTATTAACTCGCCTGAACAATCTATTCGTCGAGGCTTGGAGTTATTTTGTACACAGTGCCTGCACCACAGGCCGTACTGGGAGGGCTGGGGTTTCCTTTTTTTTTTTTTTTTTTTCAAAGAGCACGGTACTGACGTACCCCAGGTTTGTCGTGCAGTGGATATACGATCCAGTTAAGGTCACGCAGAACAAAAACAGCTCCGATGCGAAATAGAAAGGGAACATGATTAACCGTTTCTTGTGCCGAGCCGCGCATCGGCAGCCAAGATACAGAGTGCTGGTGTTTAAGAAAGCTTGGGGGGGCGGAGGGGGTATGCCTTAAGAGAAATAGGAGGATTAAAGGGAAAGAAAGTAAACTTCCACCGTGATAAATGCAGCGGGTAGAAATAGGCTGACCTAGAGTAGAATAGAGTAAGACATTCACAGCAGATTAACAAAGCAAATACAAGCGACTGTATAGATAAGATAGAAAGCAGTTTATTGACTCAGCGCTTATATACAATAAAGTTAACCAAGCTCATTAACATCTTTTGCTGGGCTGTTTACAGAATATCCAAGGGATGACAGGAACTCCGATGGTGGCTGCTAGTCCGGAGAGACACGACGGCGGTTTACAGGCGAACCCGGTGGAGGTGCAGAGTTACCAGCCGCCCTGGAAAGTACTGAGTGACTTCGCATTGCAGAGTGACATAGACCAACCTGCTTTTCAGCAACTAGTAAGTGTCGGTTCCCAGCCGGAGCAAGCCAGCCTGTCCCCGGGGCAGAGCAATGGGGGATTCTCTAAACGTGCCGGATGCCCTCAGAGAGATGAGCAATCCAGACTGGCCGGGCTTTCCTGAAAGTGCAAGGTGGGCATGATGGCACTCTCTAAATGCGGCGAACTGAATTGATTTAATAGGGTTTGGTGCAAAATCTACCTTAGTGCACAGTGGTGCTCTTGTCGAGTTGCGTGGGAGCTGGATAAGGCCCGACACTTGTCTGAGACTAACTCAACTGGCACACTCCTGAAAACAGCTCTATCCAGAGAACTAAAACATTCTTCACATGTCATTTATTTGTATGTACATTTGTGAAAGCAGTTTCTAAAATTTGTCCCTCCCTCCTTCGGGCCAATTTTGCCTTTATGCTATAAGGTGGATTTTAAATATATGATTGTAATGTCAGCCTGTACCCTTTTTTTGTCACACAAACATGAATAGCTTAACTAAATTTTTGAAGTCCTTTTTTTAAGCATGTACCACTAGATACAGCTTTATATATCTCTATATACATATATACACACAAATACATATATATATAGCTTAGATTAAATGTTGTTCTTTGGAAAGGGAATTGTTAGTATGTATTCATGTGAAAAATTCAAACAATATAGTGAACTGCCTTAAGCCAAAAGAAAACAGACCTTTTGGAATAAATTCTGTTCTTAACTCACTTCCTTATGCCTACATCATTTGGCAGCTCATATGGGACCATATAATCTACAACACTTAGGCCCAACAGAAGTTCAGCCTTACAGTTCAGCCTTAACTCAATTTCCTGGCCTAAGTGTCTTAAAACCAGATCTTTAAAATAATAAGGTACGTTGCATATGGTTTTTCAGTGATTCAGAATAATACTTAATGATGAAAAATTAACATATAGAACCTTTTTTAATCTGTTGGGCCTTTTTTTCAACATGAAGTGATGGATGACAAAGGTTTGTAGCCATGTCTAGAATTGTTTTCAGACCTCTTCAGTTTAGTATCACACTCTCTTGCAGGATCAATTTTCTTTTGCCCAGTGGCAGGCTGCAGTGTGCTTCCCTCCCCTGGCACACTGTGCTTGCTCAGGAAGCTGCAGCACAGCAGCAGGGCTGTTTGCATCATCTTACCTCTAGAGCAACCACCGGTTTTCCTGCTTTAATCAAGCTGTCAAGCAGACACAAGAAAAATTGATCTCCTTCGGCTGCCTCACTTATTGTGCCTTAACAGAACAGGAGACTTTAAAAACCTTTGATGCAGTGAGTTTTTGTATGGAGTAGTTTAAAAAAAAAAAAAAAGAGGCAGAATGGAAAATGGATAGCTCAAATACACACGTGCATATAAGTAGATAGATCATTAGATAGACAGATGAATGTTGATATATATCGGACATAATGTCTGATACTGAAAAGAGTCAAAGAATTGTGGATGGAACAGACGGTTCATAGACCGTTCAAGGCACGTCTCTAATCTGGAAGGGGCCTTAATCACAGCATCGGCCAGCTAAATAGGTGCCAAAGAAATGCTTTTGGATTAGCAAAGCTCCACCCTTCAAATCATGCCTTTTCCCGACGCTGCTCCTAAACTAACAGGAGCCGCGGGGCACATTAGGATGGAGAAGTGTGACCTTTTTTATCAAACCAACTCTCGTTAAAAAGAGATAGCACTTGCTTCAAATCACAAATGAAAGAGGATGGTTTGTTTCAAGTGCCTTCTGCTCCTGGGTACTCCTTCCAGGTTTATTTTAGTATGTGCACAAAAGGGGAAAAAAGTAACCTTGCAGTTTCATGTCAAAAAAACACATGCACTCTTAAATAATTGACTAGAACATCCTGTTGGGATTGCCACTCTTGCAAGACAGGGAAGAAGGCCTAATTAATAAGTTTGTTTGTTTATTTGTTTGATTTTTCAGTTCTTTTTTTAAAAAAGTTTTTTTTAAAACCTTTTTTTTTGGTGATTTGGCCGAGGGCCTGAAGAATATTCCTTTAAAGTCAATGGGGAAGCTAAACAAAGAAACACAGTGACACAGCCTCCCGTGGAGATGTATCAGGCCGTTCGGCTGCATGCCTGTGTATTTATTTTTGCGTTCTTTGCCTGCTATTTTTCTTTGATTGTTACAGTTATTAACAACGCTTCTTTTCCTTCTCTCTCTCCCTCTCTCTCCCTCTCTCTCCCTCCCTCTCTCTCTCTCTCAGGTTAATTTTTCTGAAGGAGGACCCGGTTCCAATTCTACTGGAAGTGAAGTAGCATCAATGTCCTCTCAGCTGCCAGATACACCCAACAGCATGGTAGCCAGTCCTATTGAGGCATGAGGAACATTCATTCAGATTTCTGTTGTTGTTTCTGCCCTTACCCTCAGCCCTGTTGGAGAGAGTGGGAAAGTGATCACATTGGGACTCCGAAATTTAGGGGGAAAAAGTATTTCACAACCCTGTAATGAACCTAGCAAGGAACCGCTCCATGAAAAGAACGGAGTCATGTTTGAAAAGACAAGGTAATATGGTAGCAACACTGTGAAGACAATCATGGGATCTTACTATAATAAATACTACAAAGAAAAAAAAAAAACCCAACAAAAAAACCCCCAACAAACCCCGCGCTATTCAATGATCAGAGGAGGATCAAAAAGACGTTTTCAAAACGTAAAGGATTTGTACTCATGGATCTCAAAAAAAAAAAAAAAAAAGAAAACAAAAAAAAGAAAACAAAAAAAAAGAAAAAAAAAACTTTTCATTTGACTGCACATCTTGGGGAGAAACCAAGGTAGAGGGATTTTCTATCCAGTCCCTCCCAATCTGAATGGTGCTGTTTCTATATTGGTGATTGCCTTGCCAAAAGGAGCTCCAGTAGGTTTTCCATCATCAGGAAAGAGACGATTTAGCCCTGCATTGTTGAAAGATTCATTGCAGGAAGGTGGAGCTGCATTGGTTTGCAATGTTGTTTTTAGTTGACTCTTAACAAGGGGATGTTTCCTGGGTCTCTTCTAGCATGTACTGTAGCGGGGTTTTGATTTTGTTTGGTTGAGATCCACTGTCTATCATGTCTGAAGCGATTAAAAATAGGTTTTTGAATTCCTCTTTAAAAACCAGTTTATAAAAGCATTGCAACAAGGTATACCTCTATTTTGCCACAAAGCGTCTCGGGATTGTGTTTGAAATGTGTCCGTCCTGGTACCTTCCCCTCCCCTAAAGCTGTGTGTAGTCATTGGTTAAAACGACTGTTTTTCTCTCTCTTTCTCTTTCTCTTTCTCTTTCTCTTTCTCTTTCTCTTTCTCTTTCTCTTTCTCTTTCTCTTTCTCTTTCTCTTTCTCTTTCTCTTTCTCTCTAAATAAAGAGAAAAAAAGTAAAAAAAAAAAAGGAAAAGGAAAAAGAAAAAAAAAACACCCTTTTTGTTTGCTCTTGCATTGCAAAATTATAAAGTAATTTATTATTTATTATCGGAAGACTTGCCACTTTTCATGTCAATTGACTATTTTTTTGTTTGCTGAAGTAAAAGAAAAAAAAGAAAAAAAAAAGAAAAAAAGAAAAGGTTGTACCGTGGTCTTTGAATTATATGTCTAATTCTATGTGGTTTTTGTCCTTTTTTTTTTTTCTTAAATATTATGTGAAATGAAAGCGCCATATGTAGAATTATTATATCTTCAGGACTATGTCACTAAATAAGCGTTTGGAATAGAGAAAATAATAATAATAATAATATTAATATTAAATAATGAACAAAGTTCCCTCTTTTAAATATTTACAAGTTAGCAGCTAAAATACCTGAAATAAAATATTGCATGCAAAGCAGGTCGTTAGTGAATGAAAGGAGTGTGATATTTTATTGCAAGTATTAACGACCAGCTTGTAAATTTCCGTTTCAACAACTATATCAGGGCTAGTTGGATGCCTTAGCTTTCAATCGATAACGTTAGAAACTCTCTTGTTCCCCACCCCCCCATCCCTTGCCCTTAAAAGTTATATTACTCTAGGCATGATCTGACATAACATTAAGACATCTAAAGAACTGGGAGCTCAGGCTTTTTGCTGAGTTCTGTTATTTTTAAAAAATAATAAAAAGAAAGTGCTGTATACCAAAGCCTCGTTGTTGAGATTGTTGAAGTGACCTGTACTTTAAGTATAAGCTCCTGATAAAAGGGTCGCTTTTTGCTTAACAAGTCAAGTATGACCATTATTTATCAGTGTCTGCTGTTAAAACGATTGAAAAATGCTGCAAAAGGAATAGTTTGAGGGGATATTGCTGTGAAATTGCACGAATGGTGTTCCTTATTTTCTGTCGACTTCCCTCTCTTCACTCCCTCTTTTCTTCCTTTTTTAATTTGCGGGGAGAGGGTGGTGAAAGCTAGAAACGTGGGCGATTTCTCGGGGAAAAGTAGAAAGAAGAAAAAAAAAAACAAACATAGAAAAGGGTTGTTTTTGCTCCAATCCAAGTGCTCCCGGCGAGCACAAAACAAAGGCTCGCCTTAAAAAACCCTTAACAACTGGAATATACAGAGATTTTTAGTCTGACAAAGACAAGTTGGTTTGCATGACAGTTTCTCCAAACCCTAATATTTTCTTAACATAACCTTCTTTTTCCTCCCTCCTCACCATCTCAGCCCACCCTGAGCAAGCTCAGCTATGGAGATAAACCATTTCGACAGAATCTAAAAAAAAAAAAAAAAAAAAAAATTTTAAAATTAAAAAAAAGGATTTCAATCATCCTGATTAGAAACTGGATTCATTTTGTATGCTCAAGTGTAATACAGTTTTGAGTACTTGATAAATATTTAAATAAATATGAAATCTACCTTAAACTGTGTGATCAGTAACCCTTGTGTTTTCATGCAGGATTAGACGCTCGGTACGACGCTTCGGGGGGCGGGAGGGAGAAAGGGTGTCATTTCTGCCCGGTGGTCTAACGTGTAAGTTGTTTGAGTCGCCCTTACTGACGGGAGGGGGGAAAAGGGGGAGTCTGGAGACCGAGTCTCCCACTCGGGGGGATCTTTAATTGCCGCTGAAGACCTGTAAGGTCAGGGTAACACCGGGCCTTTGCGTTCGCCTTTTATCGCCTGGAGGCTAACGCGTAGGTGGGAAGCGCGGCCACTCCGCGGTGAGAGGTGCAGGGTTACTCCGGGGCGGGGGTCACCCCGCGGGAGAGCAACCTGCGCGCCGGGGCGTTGCTGAGAGCCCCCCCGCCCAGGGCAGGACCTTCGGGCCGGTGAAGGTCTGTCGTCTCCGAGGGCCACGCAGGAGGGAAAGGCGAATTTTGGCTGTCGCTCCTGTGGCTCCTTGCTGGGGGGGAACCCCTCCGTCCCCCCGCCCCATGCCTGCGCGGGGCTGGGGCTGCGCCGCGCGGCGCCCCGCGGTCCCGGCGCGCCCTGCCGACGGCTGGGGCTGCCGCAGAGATAAGCGGCCCTCCGGGAGGCAGGGGTTTGCGTTTTGGCTGCCAACGGGGCGTCTTACTCCTCGAAACACCCAGGGCAGCGTGTCGTCGGAGGGCTGCAGCCGCGCTCCGGCTCCTCGGTTCTGCGGCGGGCTGCGGGCGGGAGCCCCGCTCGGATGTGCCTGCACCCGCAGCTACACCCGGGCTCCTGCCTGCGCCCCCACGGAGGGCCCGAGTCCCCCCGTGTGTCTCCCCCGACCCTGCCGGGAGGGGCTGTGGTGGCTTCTGCGGCGGCCGCTCGGGGGTCTCTGCGTCCCCGCGTCCCCCCGGCCACCGCCACCCTGCTCCGGCCCGTCCCTCTGCGCAGAGCTGGGGCCCCGGGGTCACCCCGCAGCCTCCCCCCTCGAAACTTCAGTTAAACAAACCTCGTCGTGTCTTAAGATTATTTCTTTTGCGGGGCGGAGGTTTTTTTTTTTTTATGGCCTTTGGGTCCCTTTTCCATGTCCTATGTTTGTGGCATATTTCTTCCCTCCCCCAAACCTTCGAGTATTATCCGCCGTGGAGCAAACAGAGACAAACTTTCGAGCGGTCCCTCCTAGTGCCTTCGGGAGAACACCCTTCCTGAGCTCAGGCAGCAGGATTTGTGCAAGGGAGAAAAAACATCCTCTTCATGAAATGCATGTCCTTATGGTTCTCTGTGCAGGTTCCTGCTCTGGTTCCTCTTTCCGATACGGCCGAGGGCGGCAATTAGCAGTCCCAGGTCCGCCGGTTTTCTTCTTGCTGCAGCCTCTCTTAATAATGTAAAACAAGGTCTGCTAAAGCCTGTTGTAATTTCTCTGAGACTTTTGTTTGCACACACAGAGACCAATATTCAAACTCTTCTCATTTCAATATTTGTACCAGGTTAATTAGCTCTCAGCATCTCCAGCCAAGGTAGCAGTGAGACGCAGAAGCCGGGGACGTGAATTCCAGCGTTGAGATCAGTCGAACATCTCAACAGTAAGTGCTTGCCTTTACATACATATGTATACATACATATCTTAACAAATCCACGATGGGGTCACCCAAAAATGGGCAGCGGGGAAACGACGAGGCCCCCCCCGGCGGTGCCGGCCCTCGGGTTGCCGCAGCCCCAGCGCAGCGGCCGGGACGGAGCCGGAGCCGGAGCCGGAGCTGGAGCGGGTTCAGGGTCCGCGGTGCCGGGCGGGTTTCACGGGCACCCGGACACCCTCGCCCCCTCTGCGCGCCCGAAAAGCCGGCAGCGTTTTACGGTGCGGGGTGCGGCTGCTGGGCGCTTTGCGTGCTGCAGCGGAGCTGTGAGTAGTTAATAAAGGGGCTGGAAAGAGATCCTGTTTACTGATTGTTCTTGATTGTTGTTTTCTTGATAACAGAGCAAGCCACTGAATGACTGTTTGAGCTCAGGCGCCACAAACATAAACTTAACAGCTCCCAGTGTGCCGGCCCTGCCGGAGGATCACTCCTCACCTCCCGGGGCTTGTGAAGTGCAGGCGGAGAAGGCAGCTCCTAAGGAGGCAGGCTCCGGGGGGGCGGGGGAGGCTCGCCTGTATGGCCGAGCTTTCCATATTGCACGGTATCTGCCGTCATTAGGCAGGGGAAAGGGGTGTAAAAATTAATCGGTGCCCTTCCCCGAGCCTCCTGCCCGTGCCGGAGGTCGGGGCGGGCTCTGTGCCTGTCTCCGCAGCATCCCAGGCGAGAGATGCGGCTTTTACATCAGGCTGCTGTTTCCTTCGAATTTCGGTGAATTTTCTTGCTGCGGCCAAGCGCCACGGAGCAAGTGCCCTGGGCTTGTCCGGGGCCGGGGAGGGAGGGCGGCGGAGGCAAGGGAGGGAGCGCAGCCTCGCCGCGGCCGGCCCGCACTCCCCGCCGGCCCGGGTCTCCCGGGACCGGCCGCACCGGGGCAGCAACGCGGCCGGGCGGACCGGCCGCTCTCCGCCGCCGCCGCAGCTGGGTGAATTTTACCTGCAGCTCTGGCTTTCTTCTTGGGGTGTGTGGCGGGGGGAGAGAAGGAGGGAGGAAGGTTGCAAACCAGGATTTTTGCTGGAGTGCCTCTTTTTTTGTTATTATTTTTATTGTTTTCTTTTCTCCTGGCAGACAAAACAGGGCAAGGCGTGTTTGTGGGAGAGAGAGAGGGCGGAAAAGTTTTTCAGAAATAAGTGACACGGACCAAAGCAGAGCTCGGCTCCTATCTCCGGGCAGACCTCGGGCGGCAGTGGGAAGAGGAAAATAGGGTGTTACTGTGGCTTTTCTTTAGGAGGGCTGTTCAGGTCGGTAGATCTCCAAGG